CCCTATCTTCAGCACCCTGATGTGCCCTCTGTGGTCTGCAAGGCCCCACAGCACCCCTTCCCCTCCAGGCTCTCCTTTCCCCTGCTTCCCACCAGCCTCCTCCCACCTTCCCCACTCCCCTTCCCGCTCTGGTTTATACTGGTTAGTTGTCTAAACAACCTATAAAAAGCAGAAGGGCCTGACAACCCGCTCAGAAACCCTGGTGAACTTTGACTTTTCCCTACTCCAGGCTGGGGATGCTGCTCACACCACGAGGCCCCAGCACTGCCACACCTTGGGGAGCTTCAGGGCCACATCTCCAGCTGGGAGCAGGGCTACATGTGGCCCATGCTGGTCCCAGCACCACGATGGGGAGAAGGTTCTTCAAGCACCACTTCAAGCCCCTTGGCCCCCCCCAAGCACTGGCAGCGTCTGGCCTGGCCCTCCCTCAGGGATTTCCCTGCTCCTGGCTCAGTTTTTCCCCTCTTGGCCAAACTCATGTCTTCTCCCCATAAAAATATGGGATGGAAACTCTTCCTCCCACTTGAATCCGTATTTTTTTTCCCCAACAAAACACACTTTGTGGCTCCTGCCCAGTGCTGACAGTGGGGACTTACTGGCCACTCTCTTCCACCCCCTCACCCCCCATTTTTACCCAGACACCTCCAGCTGTCAGATTCACAGCAAAATCCCCATCATTTGGTAAAAATGGCCTTTTCCCCTGATTTTTACATCGCTGCTGCCTTGTCCCATGGGAGAGGTGGGAGGATGAAATGCTGGGGTGCTTGGAGACCCTGACCTGGGGTTATTAGGGGAGCAAAAGCTGCTCTGGGGGATCCAAGCATTCCCCTAATAATCCCCCTCGTTGTGATTTTGGGATAAACTTGGTGGATTTAACATTTCTGGGATGGAGAAGGATGGAAAAGAGCTCTGGGAAAGCCCGGTACCATGCTGAGCATGGAAAAACATCACTCTCCTGGGGCTCTCTTCGTTCTCAGCACACTAATTAGGAGCTGGGGTAGGAAGTTTACACGCTCCGGCGTGATGCAAATGACCCTTAAAGATGTAAAGGATCCGGGGAGTTAATTATAAACCTCGTTGCAGGTTTGGGGTGAGGGGGTTGGGGGGGGTGACAACTCTCTGTGGGTGCTGGTGAAAGGGATGGTGGGGACGTGGAAGTGAGCAGAGAGCCCGGGCTAAAGATAAGCACGTGTGGGAGGGAGCGGGGCTGGGTGGGTGCCAGGGGAAAGACACTCCAAAAAAGTTTGGAGGGCTGGAGAGTCTTGTTTGTGCTGGGTTTTGCTGGCTCCTTTCATCGTGAGGTGGCTGGAGGGTGTTTCATCCTTGTGTCCTTGGTCCCTGTCATGGCAACGCTAAGAAGGAGCCGTTTGGGAGGTCAGGGATTGGTGGAAAACTGATAACTAGGGATGGTGGGGTTTTTTCTGGATCTAGCAACTCAGTCCTACTCCCTCCAGCTCAGGCCCTGGATGGATGGTGGCTCCTTCCAGGCTGCTCCCTTGGTGCTGTCCCCAGCCATGGGGACAAGACTGGAGGATGCCAGCTCGATGGAGGTGGCAATGCCAGGCAGAGCTGCCCTGTCGTGCCCATCCCCACCAACTGTGATAACCACCCACAGACGCCATAATCGCCCTCAGCCGTGACGCTG